GCCAACAGAGAGTGGGCTGTACAAGTCTGACAGGAAATGAAATAGAGACACAGGGTTTTTAAGAAAATGTCAATTAAATTTGTTTTAAATGGATACATAAAATTGAACATATTAACAGGGTACGGAGTGAGGTTTTGCTACGTGAGGCTGCTCTGCAGACTGAAGTGAGGCCCTGTCAGAGCACCTGCTAGTCACATAGTCCCTAGTTTGGGTCCCAGCTGGTGGTGGAAATTGACAGGGTAGACCCATGCAATTCCAGGAAAAGAGTCCACCACTGGGACAGGGTTGTAGTTCAGTGGTGGAACACCTGCCTGGCATGGGTGAGGCACTGGGCATCTTGACCCTGCCCTACAGCCTTGGCAGCTCAGCATCGGGGCTTCTGTCCTGCAAGCAACGTTTTCCTTCATTTTGGTAAGTAGAATCCAAACACCTGGATCCTATTTCTTTCCCTTCCTGGGCCATTTCCATAGTCTAACTTCAAAACTCTCACTCATTTCTCAGTGAGAGTGAAATCCTTGAATCATACACTTGCATTTTCGACTTGCAAAAGGGCTTAACAGGCTGACCATGGCTTTGGGAAGGTTTTCCGGCCTCTGGAGGGAGGGCAGGCACCTGTTCACCCTCACTTTGGTTCTGCTTGCCCCAGAGCCACCAAAAGTGTGGAGAGGGGATGCCAACTCCACGCAGTTTGGTGCAGCCTTGCCGAACAGAGCTGTCTCCAACAAAGCCAGCTTTTGTGTGTCAGCCTGAGTAAGGGCTGGCTCTGCACTGAGCTCTGACCCTGCACACACAGGTCTCTGTGTCACCCTAGAAGGCTCTCAGTGCATTGTCATTGGGAAGGGAGGGAGGTACCACTCCGGTCTTAGTACTCCAGGGAGTGCCACAGTCAGAGAGAGGCAGGAGTTTTGCCTTCCAACATCCAAAGCATCCCCAACACTGTCTCAGCAATTTCTTCCAGTATCCAAACAAAATATGACAACCCTTTTCAACAAAGATGCCAAGACACACATTGGGAAAAAGATGGTCCCTTCAATAAATGGCGCTAAGACCACTGTATATCGACATGCAGCAGATACAGATGTTAGAACTCTGCATCTCACCAGTTACAAAAATCAACTCAAAGGGGACTAAAGGAGTCGGGGTGTAGCTCAGAGGTAGAGCACTGTGAGGCCCTGGGTTTGATCCCGAGCAAAATACACACACACACACACACACACACACACACACACACACATAAACACACACACAGAGAGAGAGAGAGAGAGAGAGAGAGAGAGAGACTAAAGACTTAATTGTAAGACAAAAAACTATGAAAATACTAGAAGAAAACAGGGAAAATGTTTCATGACATTAATCTGGGCAAGGATTTTGTGGGGGGGATGGGACCGCAGAGGTGCTGAGAACAAAACCCAAAATAGACAATATGGACTTCTATCAAACAGAAAAGCTATACATCAAAGGAGCCAATCAACAGAGTGGAAGCAACCTACAGAAAGGAAGAAAATACTTGCAAACTATACATCTGACAAGGGATGGATACCCAGAATATCTCACCAGGAAAGAAAAACACAAAGAATCTGATTTTAAAATGACAAAAGAGCTGGGCACAGTAGTGTACACCTTAAACCCAACGACTCAGGAGGCTCAGGCAGGAAGATTGTAAGTTCAAGGTCAGCCTCAGCAACTTAGTGAGACCCTGTCTCAAAATAAAAAAAAAATAATAAAAGGGCTGGGGATGTGGCTTAGTGATTTAGCACCCCTGGGTTCAATCCCTGGCACCAAAAAAAAAAAAAATCAAATAAATCATAAATATGTACAGTTATTATGTTTCAAAACAAACAATATAAAACCAAGCCAAAAATAAAAGAACCCCAACACAGAGGGCAGACCCAGGGAGAATCTAGCCAAGTCCCATTTCTAGGCCCCCTGAATTGTTCCTCTGTTTGGCAGAGATGCTCTTTCTTGTCTGTAAGGAGTGATATCAAATGCTTCCTCTCTGCTACCAAAGACAGCTGTTGCTTCTGTGGCTTAGCGAAGGCTGGAAGGAAATTTAAAGGATGTGTGAAGTGGAAATTCTGGAATCTCATTTGCAAGGCTCACACTTCACCACCAGCGTTGCTTATAGGCTTGGATAATCCATGCCATAGTGCCCCGACCTCAATCTAAGTGGAACGAGCAGAGATAGCTGTAGGACAGTCCTCAGGCTTCCCAATTCCCATCCGCCCCATCTCCACCACTGGTGTAGCAGCAAGGGGCTCTGAGGGGTAGAGATGGGAGAGGAGGCAAGTGTGGTGTCTCCAGGGAGAAACCTCCTTATTTACAGCCAGGGAAAAAGAGAATATTCCTCCATTCAGTAGCCCAGAGAGTCCCACAGGGAGCTGGAACTCAGGCATGAAGACATGGTCTTCAGAAACGCTGTGACCCCAACGACTCCTCATGTTAAAAAGAGGATAGAAACTTAGACATGGAAGGTAGAAGAGGTCCTGGCGGGACAGCTAGTCCAGCCTCTATTGTGCCTCTTCCCTGTCCCCGCAAAGGCAAACGTCTGGGGGCAGCTGCCCAGTCTGGGCTGTGGACTGGCCTTGGCAGAGGCATTTTGTCTGGCAAGCACCATGCACTTTTAAATGCTTTACTTTTAATTAGTTGCCAACCTTTAACGATCTGGAGATTTCATATTAATAAATAAAAAGCTAGACTCCCAGATTCCCCCAAGAAATCAGAAAAGCTGGCAAAGCTGGCTGACAGGAGCGTGGACAACAGCCCTCCCTGCTCAACCCTCACCAGGCCCTGGCTCCTCTTGGCCCTGCGGTGACACACTTTGCCACCGAAGGCAGAGACCCACGCCTCCCACCCTAGCATTTTGCCCCCAAGAAAACACCCTTCCCTGCTCTGGCCAGTTAATTCAGAGTCTGAGCCTGGTTCCCAGGTGAACTAGTGTGCAGCCAGGGTAAAGAACGGCGAGGTTAAGGCCATGAACGGCAGGTGACAAACTGTTTTCTTCTTGTTGCTCCTTAGTGTCCATTTCACCATTTTAGAAGTTCCTCATTATAGAAAATCAAAATCTTACTCTACCTTCAATTAGCATCTCACACATTGGATACTAGATCACCCCCTCCTCTTCTCTTTCTAAAATAGCCTCTGTTTTTTTTTTAGTTTCTCCTCTTTCTGCTTCATTATTGTGGTTGCCTTATTCTGAACCCCAAATTACTCTAATTGTTATTTTAGTAGAGGATTCAACGGAAGTACTTATTTCTGGTCCCCTAATGACGTGCTTAATATCTCAGAATCACATTAATTTCTGTTTCGCCACATTTTTACTCAATCATAGTCTGTTTTTATTTTTAACAAAGAACTCATTTGCAAAAATCTGAGAAGTCACACTCCGGGATGAATAATCATGCTTTGGGGCAAATTTAAGCACAAACTATCAAGCTTCACTTTGGGGCCAGGGGTATCATCCGATATGTAAAATTAAAAGGGCTATATGTATGTGCGTAGTAGTTTTAGTTTTTTATCCATAAATTAAGTCATTTGCAATCAGTTGAGTCATCTGTTTTTAGGCAATTTTTAAGCTACATGGGATTACTGTTTTTCTGAGGTTTTAAAAAAATTATTCATTTTGTGATTTTTTTCCTTTCTTTCCCACGAGCTCTCAGTTAAACCAATTCTCAAATGTCAAGTTAACAGAAAAGCAGCTTAGTGATGGACTGAATTGGAAAACCAGCACAAATCTTAGCCTCTTAGGCTAGTTAGATCCTGCTTTGGTAAATATAGTTTATTGTGCCCATTTGATGGATAAGGAAACTGAGCCCTGGAAAGTTTAAGCAGTTTGTCCATAGTTCCTTGATCTTCACATTCCCCACACTGGATGAATTCGGGCTCTTCCAAGCCCTCTAGGGAAGGTGAGTCTTCCACAACCATTAGAACTTGACCCCAGAGACCAGACACCAGAAACCAACATCAAGAGTCAGGCTGTGAATCAGCAGAGCGGATTCTTTCATACATTTGGGCCTGCATCAGATCGACCCAGAAAGGCTCACCAAACACTGAACACGACATTTTAGAGTCATGTTCTGTTAACGTCTAAGGAAAAGCCACAGTTCTTTAAGAACTGTGCAGACCACAGAGAGACCCTGCAGGATGCCGGGAATCATCTCCTAAATTAAATAGAAAAACCAATCGGAACTTCGAAATTCCCAATAACCATCGAAAGTAAAGAAAGTAAAGAAGAAAAAAAAAACACACACTCCTTCACACTCATACTTTGGGGAGAAAGAAGGAAATTAAGATTTTTCCTCTTAATGCCTGGTTTCCAAATTAGACGGACGGGAAGGCTCTCTGCACGCCTTCCAGGCACCCAGAAATGACGACGTGAAAACGAACACAATGTGCCACGCAGCGGAGGGAAGGAGCCTGAAGCCCGCGGGGCTCTGAAATCCCAGAGGCGCTGAGATCCCCAGGAACCCCCGACCGCGTGCCGCTCACCCCCGGGGCCGCCGCGCCCTGGTCGCTGCAGGAGGGGGTCGCCGCAGTGTTGCTCCACTCTGGACCCCAAGTCACTCTAACCTATTTTACTAGAGGACTCAACGGAGGTCCTTATTTGAGGCCCCACAGTGGGCGGGGAAACACTAGCCTCATCTCATTGTTTGCAGCCACCTGGGAGATGCAGCTGGGGGCTGGACGGGGCGTCTCCACCGGCTGCCTGGGCTCAGGTTCTGTTCTTTGTGTGTTCGCCCACAAAACACAAGACCCATTCCCCAGCGACGAGCGAAACACCCGGCTTTCAAGCCCCCTCTTGCCGCCGCCACGGTTGTCGCCAACTCGCCGCGCCAGCACGCGCCACCTCCAGACAAGGCGTGGCGACGCGCGTCGCGGACCCTCCCGCAGCCCAGTCCCCCGCGCGCCTGCTCTCTGGCGGCTGCCTTTGCGATCCGACAGCTGAACTGGGAGCGTCGGGAGCCGAGCGGTCTGCAAGCCGCGCGGAGGTCACGGATACTCACGTTTCCAAAGGCTTCCGAAGCGCGCGCACTCCCCGGGCCACTGCAATCAGAAGGACGGGAAGGCTCTCGGCACGCCTTGCAGGCGGCCAGAAATGGCAAGCAGGAAGCCAGCTGGAAGCCCCTTATTTTCTGCGAGCACACTCAAAATGCTCCTCAGTGCCGCCAACGCAGCTGCCAGGTTTAATAACTGTGTCAGACAGCCCGCCCCTCCCCCATGAAGAGACACAAAGATGACAGGCGGGGGACTGAGCCCGAGTTCCACCGCAGTCAACCCGCCTCGGCCTCAGCGATGCCGCAGTTAGGAGTGTGCAGGGGCCGATCAGGAAAAGGATTCAAATGCCAGCTTTGACCTAAGAAATTTCCAGAAATCTCTGTTCGTTCCTCTGAGCCAGAATCCTTTTCGCAATAGGATTTCTGAAACAGAACTAGAGGCCGGTACCTTTCTAGTTCACCCGCATATCTCAAATGGAAAAGAAATTTACGCAACAACGCCCAGCCCCCTTCTGTTTGATCTCTGCAGCATCTGGGAGATGCCAAGCGCCAAGGCTTAGCCCTCGTGTGTTAGTCGCGCCTGTCAATCACCGCTGGCGTCTGTCCCTAGGACAGAACCTTACTGTTTTGGGGGGCTCCGTTGCAGTTCCTCATTGACCTGGACCATATCCAAAGCTCGGGCAGCTCCGAGAGAGACTGGATATTATCAAGCCGGAAGCAATTAGTGGTTCTCTTTGGAAAGTAGACTATCAAAGCCAAATATTCCACTGAAAGTAATGTTTTATAACAAGTGTATATTTAACAGACTCGTCCGTGTACGCTGCCACCCAGCGGCCACGCCCCGCGGTCAGGCAGGGTCCCCACCCCAGCCCGCCCCGCCCCTGGGCTCTTGGTTAGAGGCGCCGCTGGCTGCACCTGCTTCTGCCGGGAGGGGTTTCCGTGGAAACCCTGGAGAGACGGCTCTCCCTGCAGACACGCTGTTCCCCTGGCAACTGCGACCCAGCGGCAGGCGTGCCAAGCAGAATGTCAATGGATGCCTGCTTTAAATCACAGATTAGGGAGTTCACGAGGATGGTCGGGCCAACTCGGAATGCAGCGATATTTGGGAAAGCAAACTGAAAACCGCTCAAACCTGGGTGGGGTCGGTGGGCATCTCAGAATTGGGGGACTGCATCGCTCGCCCCCTCCCCGCGAGTTTGTGGTTGGCTTTAGAATGAATCTCATCATTCTCTCCAGAATATTTCCTTTATTCTGCTTAAGATACTATTTTAAAGTCATTTTGCCCAGCTCGAGCACCAGCTGGCCCCAGATTAGAGCAAGAAGAGGCTCGTACATGTGTGAAACAGAGGGGAGATGCCGTGGGAACAATGTTCAACTGTGGACAGTGTTGTGTACAGAAGGGCAAAACTGGTTCTGACTACAACTTTGCACCATCAGCCTAGGTAGAACACACTAGTACAAAATTTTACTCATGATATCCAGAGAAGGTTTGGGTGGGGAAAAGGGAGAAGTGTGAATGAGTCTATCCATGTTTATTAAAAATTTAAATGTCTGTATGCCATCCTATTACTTTTAGGTAAGGACAGTTTATACTCATCAAACCAAAAATAGGTCTAAAGATAAAATTAAATAAGTTAATGAACTTTCAGTCAAGCACAAGATTGGGAACAAAAACACATGTGCCCCTTATTGGTTTCTCTTTATGATTAATTGTATATTCCCTACCTATTAAAAGTTAAAGTCAGTACCTGGCTTGGATGAATGAGATTTTGCTATATAACATTACAGTGATATGATGATATTAATCAGTCTCTGAGTTGAGACTGAAATATCTACGTACACATGCATCTTTTAAAAAGCCATAAATGCACTTCTGAAAAGGTTCGTATGCATTTGGTTTTCATAAAGCAAGGGATATTTCCATATTCTAAGGACTCAGTTTATGCAAAAGAGAACATACAGGAAATTTTTTGCATAAAGCAAGAAGAGTTTCAGTCAAGAACCATCTAATTTATGTTTTGAAAAGTCCCACTTTGTATCCCAAATCTGCTTTGAAGACATACTTTTGTAAAGATGGTGACATAGATGTTTATTTGCAAATGAAGTTCTCTCAAACAAAAATGAGTATAGCCAGCAATCAAACAGACATCTAATTCCTTCTCCGGATACATTTCAAGTTTGAAAAAATGAAAAAATTATTAAATAGATTATCTTTGCTTCTAACAAAAATGAACAGTGAGTAACGTAGAAGGCAGAAGAATGAGAGTAAGAAAGTTAAAAAAATATTAACCAAATCATTAAAAAGTCTTTCCAGAGAATAATTAAGAGCAAAATGATTATATTCTGAATATTCTATCATTGGTAATGTTAAGTGAGATTCAAATAAGTAGGCAGTCATAATTCCAATTTTAAAAATTGTGTTTAGCGGCTGGGGGTTCTAGCTCTGTGGTAGAGCGCTTGCCTACCATGTGTGAGGCATGGGGTTTGATCCTCAGCACCACATAAAAGTAATAAATAAATAAAGGTATTGTGTCCACCTACAATTTTAAAAAAATATTTTTAAAAGTTGCTTGTTTATTTAACAACATGACCGTGATGGCTTGGAGGAGTTTGCGTCATTCTTGCCTAGACTATCTTTACACCTGCCTGACCCCCAGCCCCCATGCTGGAGACTGATCCTGGGGCCTCTGGCATGCTAGGCACATGCCCAGCTACTCACTTGCCTATTATTTTCCATGATAAATATCACAAGTGATCGTAGTTAGATCTGTGTTTTTTAAAGTTCCAGTTGCTACTTCCTGGCTATTTTCTCATTTCAAAAAATGGGAATAATAACAGCACTTTGGTTTTTTTCTTCAGTCCTGGTAATTGAACTCGGGGGCACTCTACTACTGATGTATATTCACAGCCCTTTTTATTTTCACTAACTTGCTGAGGCTGGCTTTGAACTCAGATCCTCCTGCCTCAGCTTCCCGAGCCACTGGGATTACAGGGATGCACCACCACACCCAGGAACAGTACTTTCTTAAAGGTACTTAAGTAAGCTCATGCTGGATGAATTTCAGCACAGAGCCCAGCACATACATGAATGCATCTTATAATCATAGCAAATGTTAATCCCAATTTTTAGGCTATTTTTTTCCCAGAATTTTAATTACAATTCTACTTAGATAGGTTTGTGGCTTTGATCAGACGTTTTTTTATACCTGAGGATCAAACCCAGGGCTTTACATGGGCCAAGCACACTCTGCCTCTGAGCAACAACCCAGAGCCGCGGTTCTACTTGGGTTTCTCACCATTTCTGTTTTGCGTCTCAGAACTTCCTCCTGGAATCATCCACCTTTTCCTTAAGTAGTTCCCTAAAGAGGTTTATAGTGACTTGTTTTGTTACTGTAATTTCTCTGTTTCAGCTTGATGGCGTCTTTATTCGGATTTTGTTCTTGAAATACAATTTCACTTGGCATAATTTGGGGTTCGTGGTTATTTTCAATCCGTGTTTTGAAAACATTTTCTACTGATGTTTGGCTTTACTTTGCTAGTGAGGCATTAGCTGTCATTGAATTTTCACTTTTTCCTGGGTACTCTGTCAACTTAGTTTTGTTCCATGCTATGCTTTTATTCCACTATTTTATTTTTAACACAATATTAAACACACTTATTTAATACTCTGAGCCCAAATGTTCCAGGATTCACAATGTAGGTGTAGGTGTAGCTCAGCAGTCGCTGTCTCGGCTCACTTTCACTCATTCCTTTATTTGGTGATTTTTGTTATGGTGGATTCATGTACTTGGAACTTTGTGGGAATTCTCTGTGATAAAAGTACAATGTCCAGATAGGTGGAGCGGAGGATGGGGGAAGTGACACAAAGCCACTTTAAAACTCATTTTCATGCCAGCTTCAGAGGTGCACACCTGTAATCCCAGCTGCTGGGAAGGCTGAGGCAGAGGGATGGGGAGTTCAAAGCCAGCCTCAGCAAAAGCAAGGTCTCAGTGAGACCCTGTCTCTAAATAAAATACCAAATAGGGCTGGGTAATGGTGTTCATCTCATTCCACCATCTTTCCTACCCCCTCACACCCTCCTTTCCCTTCCCTCTCCTATGCCCTATTCAAAGTTCCTCCATTCCTCCCATGCTCCCCGGCCCACCACCCCCATTATGGATCAGCATCCACTTATCAGAGAGAACATTCGGCCTTTGTTTTTTTGGGATTGGCTAACTTCACTTAGCGTGATACTCTCCAACTTCAGCCATTTACGTGCAAATGCCATGATTTTATACTCTTTTAATGTGAGTAACATTTCATTGTGTATATACACCACAGTTTCTTTATCCATTCATCGATTGAAGGACATCTAGGTTGGTTCCAGAGTTTAGCTATTGTGAATTGAGCTGCTATATACATTGATGTGGCTGTGTCCCTGTAGTAGGCTGCTTTTAAGTCCTTTGGGCATAAACTAAGAGTGGGATAGCTGGGTCAAATGGTGGTTCCTTTCCAAGTTTTCTAAGGAATCTCCATACTGCTTCCCAGATTGGTTGCACCAATTTTCAGTCCCACCAGCAGTGTTTGAGTGTGCCCTTTCTACTACATGCTCACCAACACTTACTGTTGCTTGTGTTCTTTGTGCTCCACTTGTGTTCTATGAACTGAAATGCATTCTGCTGTCATGTATAACAAATTACAACAAGTACATAAATGAATAAAATTTTAAAAATAGGACTGGGGATGTGTTTCAGTGGACGAGTGCCCCTGAGTTCAATCCCCAGTATCCCCTCCCCGCAAAAAAAAAAAAAAAAAAAAAAATCCATTTCATGTGTAAAGTCTATAGGTCCATGTAGGGTCACAAATTTTAAGCTCATACATTTGCGAGTGGCTGAGAATCTTGGGGAGCCTTTCTCTGTTCTTCACCCACAGCCCGTCCTGAGGTAGGTAGCATCTTACTGAGGTGCTGTTTTCTCTTTGTAAAACCATTATGCTGTCCTTCAGGGGTTCGGGCTTCATATGGGGTATTTTCCCCCAGGGCTGGGGATCAAATCAGGGTGTCACACAGGCTAGGCAAATACTCTACCTCTAAGCTACACCAAAGGGCATTTTTTTTAAAAAAAATCTGGTTTCCTGTCCCACTGAAGCCCCCCACTTTTAATCTCCTGTGGCTGGATGTGGCTCATTCAAACTCAGCTCAGCTACCAGGGACGGCAGACATTCCCCCCTACCCTCTCAGCAAAGAGCTCTTCTACCCTCGTACCATGCAGTCGAGCTGTCTTACAGTTCTGCCTTCTGCTGCCTTCATTCTACCACCAGCCCTGAAAGTGCTTTGAAAAAATAAGACAAATGATCCAATTTTTTAAGCACAAACTAACGATTCAGACAGATGCGTGACTCAAGAAAAAAGAGGCCTGTGAAAAGATGCTTCACGTCATGAGTCGTGAGGAAAACACAAATCAAGACCACAATGGAAGACCAC